GAAAAAGTTCTCATTTCTACTTTGCTTATGAAGTTTAGTTTGGCTGGATACGAAATTCTAGGATGAGATCTTTTTCTTTAAGAATGTTAAATATTGGGCCTGGTATGATGGCTCATGCCTATAATCCCAGCCATTTGGGAGGCCAAGGAGGATGGATCATCTGAGGTCAAGAGTTCCAGACCAGTCTGGCCAACATGGCACAACCCTGTCTCTGCTAAAAATGCAAAAATTAGCCGGGTGTGATGATGGGTGCTGGTAATCCCAACTACTCAGGAAGCTGAGGCAGGAGAATCACTTGAATCTGGGAGGTGGAGGTTGCAGTGAGCCAAGATGGCACCACTGCACTCCATCTTAGCTGGAGACTCCATCTTAAAAAAAAAAAAAAAGAATGTTAAATATTGGTCCCATTCTCTTCTGGCTTGTAGGGTTCCTGCTGAGAGGTCTGCTGTTAGTCTGAGGGACTTCCCTTTGTAGGTGGCCTGGCCTCTCTCTGGCTGCCATTAACATTTTGACCTTGGAGAATCTGATGATAATGTGTCTTGGGGTTGATCTTCTCATGGAATATCTTACTGGATTCTCTGTATTTCCTGAATTTGAATGTTGACCTTTCTTGCTATGTTGAGGAAGTTCTCCTGGATGATTTCCTGAACTGTGTTTTCCAACTTGATTTTGTCCTCCACATTTATTTCAGGTACCTCCAATTAGTCATAGATTAAATCTTTTTACACAATCCCATAGTTCTCAGAGGTTTTGTTTGTTCTTTTGTTCTCTAATCTTATAATGCCTGCCTTATTTCAGCAAGAGAGTCTTCAAGCTCTGATATTCTTTCTGCCTTTTGGTCTATTTGGATACTTGTGTTTGCGTTGTTAAGTTTTTGTGTTGTGTTTTACATCTCCACCAGGTCATTTATGTTCCACTCTAACCTCGTTATTTTGGTTAACAACTCCTGTAATGTTTTATCCTGGTTCTTAGCTTCTTTGCAATATGTTAGAACATACTCCTTTAGTTCAGTGAAGTTCATTGTTATCCATCTTCTGAAATCTACTTCTATCAGTTCATCCAGCTCAGCCTCATTCCAATTCTATGCCCTTGCTAGAGATGTGTTGTGATCATTTGCAGGTGAAGAGGGAATCTGGCTTTTTGAGTTTACAGCATTTTTGCATTGATTCTTTCTCATCTTCAAGGGTTTATCTACTTTTGATCTTTGAGTCTGCTGACCTTTGGATGGGGTTTTGGTTTTTGTGGTCTTTTAAAATTGATGCTGTTTTTGCTTTCTGTTTGTTTTTCTTTTAGCGGTCTTCCCTAGGGCTGCTGTGGTTTGCTATGGGCTACTCCAGACCCTGTTCACCTGGGTCCTTCTGACCCCTGGAGGTATCACCAGCGGAGGCTGCAGAACAGCAAAGATGGCAGCCTGCTCCTTCTGCTGGGCACTCTGTCCCAGAGGGGCATTGACCTGATGCCTGCTGGAATGAACCTGTATGCAGTGCCTGAAGACCCCTGTTAGGAGGTCTCACCCAGTCAGGAGAAACAGGATCTGTGACCCACTTAAATAAGCAGGAATTTCCCTTGTCCAGACTGCCTGGACTCCTCAAAGCTTGCTAGCAGAAAAGGCTAAGACTGCTGATCCATGATACCACAGCTGCCCCTCCTCCTAAGGGGTTCTCTCAGGCAAATCAGAGATCTGTCCATAAACCCCTGGCTGGGGATGCTGAAAAATCTCTCAGGGAGGCCCTGCTTGGTGAGAAGGAATGGGTCATGGTCTCTCTTAAAAGAAGCAGTCTGGCTATGAACTCACAGTGACTGTGCTGTGTTGGGCTGTGCTGTGGGGAATTTCTCCTAGTCCAAACCACTCAGTCTTGCTGGCACCAACAGCAGGGGAAAATGGCCAACTGGCGCCACAGTGGTAATGGCCACTTCTCCTCCCCAAGACCCTGTTTTCTTAGGCAGTCTCCAGCCTGCCCTGCCTGCTGGCCTGCAGGGATTTCAAGCTAGTGGGTTTTAGCTTGTGGTGTTCCATGGGACATTGTGCCATTGAGCAAGGTCACTTGGCTTCCTGGCTTCAGCCCCCTTCCCATGAGCGTTGATGGATCTCCTGCCTCACTGGAGTTCCTAGAGCCAGGGTATGCAAAAACTCTTATATCTCAGTGCCTGCTTGAGGTACTGCCCACCAAAGCTGCGGCTGTGAGTCTGCACAGCTCTGTGCTAGGGACCCAAGGCCTTGGTAGCATGTACTCATGAAGGGATCTTCTGATCCATGGGTTGCAAGGATTCATGAGAAAAGCATGTTTTTCAAAATGTGGTAGCACAATCTCTCACCACCTCCCTTGGCTCAGGGAGGGAGTTCCTTTTGCCCCATTCAGCTTCCAGGTAGGTGGGCCCTCACTCCACTCCACTCTGTTTTACCTTGCTCTCCATGGGTTGCACCAACTGCTAGTCAGTCCCAGTGAGAGAACCTGGGTGCCTCAATTGAAGATTTGAAATTCACATGCTGTTTTTGTTCTTCTTAGTGGGAGCTGCAGACTAGAGCTGTTTCTATTTGGCTATCTTGACTGCTCCACTGCTGTCATCTTTATCTTTGTTCCACTGTATGTAACATGTCTTTGTTTTCTGGATACTTTTAAGATTTTTTCTTTATTATGAGTTTTGAAATTTTTGGTTGTAAGGTATCCTGGTGTAGTTTTCCTCATGTTTCTTGTGATTACAGTTTGGTAAACTTCTTGGATCTGTGAACTTAAATTTTCATTAAGCTTGGAAAGTTTTGGACTCTCTTTAAATATTTCTTTATTCTTTAAATAGAAAATCCTAAAAATATTTCTTTAAATATTTTTCTGTATCTCACCCCCTTTAAGGAAATCAATTCCCACTATAGTTGTATCACAGCTAACTGATACACATTTTATCTTTTTTGGATATTTCTTTCCGCTATGGATTCTATCTTGGATAATTTTTTTCTTTTCTTTTTTTCAAGTGACAGAGTCTTGCTCTGCTGCCAAGGCAATAATGGCTCACTGCATCCTTGAACTCCTGAATCAATGCCTTGGATAATGTCTAATGTTATAATTTTGAATTCATTAAACTCTTTTTCTGGAATGTCCATTAATTTTAACTTCTAAAAAATCTCAGACATTGTAGTCTTCTGTTTTTTAATACTTTTCATATCTTTGCTTAACATTTAAAAATATGGGATACAGTTAAAATAACCATTTTAATGTCTTTCTCTGTTAACTGTAACATCTGCATAAGTTCTGCATTAGTTTCATCTTGTTGATTCCGCTTCTTATTATGTCTTATTTTTTTCCCTCTTTACATGGCTGGTAATATTTCATTAGAAGCCAGACATTGCATTGTAAGTGTTAGGTGCTGGGCATTATGATTTCTGTAAACCTCTTTGAGGGTTTTTTAATTTTAATTTTTATGGGATACAGTCAAGTTATATCGGAACATTTTGATCCTTTCAGGTTTTACATTATGAATTGTTAGGTGGATCTGGAGCAGTTTAGTTCTGCTCCCCATGTGAGTGCAAAGAATTGTGTCCTGTTATTCTTTCAGATGCTTCTTACCTGGTTTGAAGTTGTTTCCTCACATGCATGTGCTAATCAATACTCAAGGAATACCTTTTGCAGATCTTTAGTGTTCTCTCTCTGTGTAGTTCGTTTTTCTCTAGTACTCTTTTCCATGAACTCTAACTGTATTGTTCTTCCTATACATTTAGCTCCATTTCTTCAACTCAGGGAGTCAGCCAAACTCTGTCTTAGTAATTTCATGTGCTATGACCTGAAAGCTTTCATTGAGACAGGAAGCTCAGGAAGCTGGGGGAATTATAGGACTAACTTGTTTTGTAATTTTTCAGAGATCACAGCCCATTGTTGTATTATGACCAGTGTCTTATAAATCATTTCTTCATGTGGCTTATCTGTTTTGCTTTTTTTGGCTTTTGTTTCAAGTGACAGGGTATATTGGCCCCCCATCTCTTGGCCAAGGGTTACATAACAATATCCTCTTATGCTTTCACAAGATCCTTAGAAATCTGTTACATACATAATTTGTTTGGACCCCCAAACCTGATTTATTCAAAGAGATATAATGTTTAACTGCTTTTTCATCAAATCGTGAGCCTCCATCCCTTATTATTACTCTCTTTTCATGTCAAATCTTATGATTTTCTACTTAAAAGGAAAGATGATAATAAATGTGCCAGCAGTTTTACAATTTCTCCGATATCTATAAAAACTGCTTTTCCCAAGCTGTGAGAATTTGTATTTATCATTCTTGTTTTTGCTTCCAAGTAGAGGTTATGGAAGAAAATACAGAGAGATATATACACACTTCTGCCTCTCTTTAGTAAATTTTGGCATATCTCAGTTCCTTTTCATCAATGTTGCATATTTATTCTTTGTCTTTGTTTTTATCTTTTCTACTGCTTATTTTTAAATTGATATTTGTTGAAGAGCTGGGTTATTAACTGTCTTTATATTCTTCCTGGTAGAGATCCACTGGGATTTGAGTTCTAGAATTTCATTTTTGAAATTTCCCATTAAACTTATGCTAAATTTTCATTTAGATCTGTGATTATCAGCAAGACGATTAAAGTTGTGTTGTTCTTTTCTTAAAAGTATGTGCTTTTACAATCATTCTCAGTCATTTTCTTATTCCATGTATTTTATATTATATTAGAGAAGTATCTGGCTGCCTTTTTGTGCTTCAGTATTTATGTATTACAGTGGCAATATATTTTATATTATGTTTTTTTTTTTTTAACCTAACAGCCTCCATCATTTTCTCTCTCAAGTTTAAATATTTTATGACAGGTATAGTTTTTCTTTAAATAAGGCAATATTCCATCACCATATTCTATTTTCACCTATCTGATTTGAATTAGCCTTGTAGAGTGAGCCATCACTTGTCAAAAATACACTTGTCCCTCGCAGAAGATCCTCTTATTTGGCAACCATCATAAACATTAATTTCAATTAAAATATTTTTAAGGGAAAATTACTTACGCAGGTCCGTAGTTGCATACAAATATCACAGATGAAGCTCTCCCAAGGTTAGGACATGCTGCAACCGCACAACCAAGATAAACTGAATTGGCCCAAACTACCTATAAAGAAAGACATTTCAAGATAAAATATGCAAAATATTTCTATGCAAACAATGCATTTTGAGAATTGCTCTAATCTTTGTCATGCTACAAAAAAGAATGTACACAAATATTTATTAGTTACACATTTTTTATAATTTCTGTATTTAGTTTAAAATTTTTATTTTGTTAGGGCTGCTTTCATGAGTGCTACCTAGCTATTTTTTCCTTTCTGGTGATTCTCATAAATCAAAACAAGAATATAATATATAGCCAAATTAATAATATAATATATAAAACAATTTCTTCTAGATTATTTATGAAATACAGTTTAATTCTATCTGTATATAGAATTAAACTGAGTATATAGTACAAACAATATTAAAATCAGACTATAAATGGAAACAACATATTTATTTGTTTTTCTCAGAAAAATTCTACATAATTTATAATTACATTTTAAATTTTGCAATCTTAATCATATTGTTACCTTTGTCAAGTCACAAAGTAAGGATTAAAAACATATTGAGTTGATTTTCAAAGATGTCTGCCATAAGGATGGTAAATCTTAATTGTTATCTAGTTGTGAAAAATAACAAAGTTATGCAAAAGGAAGAAGACTTCTATGGAAAACTAGTTATAGAAGATAGGAACCTTACTATTTTTTTGTGACAATCATAGAATAATTTTTTTTCCAAATAAACACAAAAGGGGAAAAAATATTGATTTACTCCATTTGAAAAATAATCCAAGGAATTTAGACACAGAATAAATTTTGACAACACAAATTTCTGATCTCATTTATTTTACTTTATTAGCAAAACATACTAACCTATTTCATAAATTGATATATCAGTCAATTTTTTTTCATAGGCTTGTTCTAGCCAGAATCAATAGTTTTGCAAAATATATTTTACTGCTTTGTTTGCCTGAGAGGCAGTAAAGCACAAGAAAAACACAGTGAACTGAGAATTTAAAAATTATTTTTGGGAGGCTGAGGCAGACAGATCATGAAGTCAGGGGTTCAAGACCAGCCTGGCCAACATGGCGAAACCCTGTCTCTACTAATAGAACACAAATTAGCCAAATGCGATGGCACACACCTGAAATTCCAGCTATTCAGGAGGCTGAAGCATGAGAATTGCTTGAACCCGGGAGGAGGAGGTTGCAGTGAGCTGAGATTGTGCTACTGCACTCCAACCCCAGTGACATGGAGAGACTCTAGCTCAAAAAAAAAAAAAAAAAAAATGAGTTTCGCTTTCAGCCATCTGTGTGATTTTGTTGAGTAAATGACAGATCAATTCTGGGGTAGTTTCCCACTTAATGAAATGAGATAAAGTGAGATCATTAAAAGAGTGTTTTCCTTTTGAATGTTTTAAACAAGTAATAAACAATAAAACTAAAATATATATTTCAAAAAAAATAATGTTTAACAATTTGGCTCATTAATAACTACAGCATGAAATTCTCTTCTCTTTTAATTGTGACTTTTGGAGGGCTCTTGAAATGGTGAAAATAAATGTTGACTATGTGAGTTTATGACATACTGCTTTCATTAAAGAAATGATGTAATATTAATATGAACATTGGATGTATCTCTAAGATGAATATCAGTAGGTGGTAAATGCAAGAAAATTTTCTCTTATTTTGTTTAGAACATGAAGCAAGATATAGTTGTTGATTTTATATGAATATAATCATTCCTAATTATTTAACCTTGTGTGTAAAGTAGCCAATGAAGAGTAAGCTCCCCTTTCTGCTCTAGCAGTACTAAGGGAAAAGGGGCATTTGGGAACATGCTTTTTTTTTTTCTTTACAGCAAAAGAGAACAGAAAGGATATATAAAAGCTATAACTCAGCCTTGATACCATATTAGGGATATTGCATCCTTTTGTTATCAGGACATCTCACACTTGATTCATTCTCTCAATTTTCTGGGGAGTAGCCAAACTATATTCTTTACCAACATCTTTCCTGATATCCTGGAGATTGTCTGGACTTAGAACATCCTGTTGTTGAATGAAGAGTGAACATAAAAAGAACATGGAAGTTGCTATTATTTGTTCACTGCACGTCTGATAAGAATGACTTTAAGACCCTGTATAGGAATTCAACTTAGAGAAATGAGTAAGTTTAGAGAAGAAGGTGAACCTTTCTATTGCTTAAACAGGCTCTCCTAGGGGCTCAGTATCATATCTGGGATTAAAATTTAGCCAAAAGATAAATTTTAGAGACATTTACACTTGGACCTGAAATAATTTTAAAAATTGGGAAAATAATAGGAAGTAACTGTTTTCAAGACATTAGGCAACACAACATAATACCCCTGAGATTTGGGGAAAAAACAGGTAAACTGTATAATTGTCCTGGTTTATTGTCTGGAGACAGCTTCTAGATTATGGTTTAGAGAGTCTGATTGAGGATTTGGGGGAGACCAAGGACGGAGAAGTTTAGAAAACACAGTACTGAAGAGGTGAGAATTGTACAGTGACATACTAGGGCAATGTGCAGAAGCTCCTCATCATCTGTTCAGCGAAATACTAATCAAAACATGCATGTGTAGAAACCAGTCTAGGGCTGAGAAAGACCCATTTACAAGAACTAGAGGAAATAATGCCAAGGTTTACATAAAGCCAGAAATAAGACTTATTTCCACTTTCCAAATTTGACAATTTCTTAATTCTCAAGGCATTAGATAGAATATACAGAAAAGTCTTGCCTCAGTAGTGAGAGATCATTATCAGCTCTAGACTAAACACTACTTTTACTCTACCTAACATATTTTAAAAGCAGGAACAAAGAGGATCAAATAAATTTCAGGTAACTTACCTGTACCCAAAAAGACAGCTCAAGAATATTTATAGTGAGCCAGGCGCAGTGGCTCACGCCTGTATTCCCAGCACTTTGGGAGGCCGAGGCGGATGGATCACGAGGTCTAGAGATCAAGACAATCCTGGCCAACAAGGTGAAACACTGTCTCTACTAAAAATACAAAAAATTAGCTGGGCACAGTGGCGCATGCCTGTAATCCCAGCTACTCAGGAGGCTGAGGCAAGAGAATTGCCTGAACCCAGGAGGTGGAAGTTGAGGTGAGCCGAGATCGCGCCATTGCATTCCAGCCTGGGTAACAAGAGTGAAACTCCGTCTCAAAAAAAAAAAAAAAAAAAGAATATTTATAGTATACAAATAAATCCAGCACCCAACAAGGCAAAATGTACAATATTGGGAATTTGGAAAATAATAAAATTTGCCCAATATGATATGAGGGAAGAAAACTTGATTCAAAACAAAGAGAAAAATCAATCAATTGAAACTAACACAGAGCTAACATAGATACTAGAGCTAGCAGGAAAAATATTAATTATTATAACCCTATGTCTTATGCTTAAACTAGATGAAAGAGCAAACATATCAGGTTCATTCATTGAAGACGTAAGAACATCAAACTCGTAGAGATACAAGCTTTAAGATATAAGATTGAAAACAAACTGGGATTAACAGTAGACTAAATATTACAGAAGAATAGATTAGCAAATTTAAATATGTAGCAATAAAAGTACTTGAATTAATCAATGAGAGAAAAAAAATCAAGGAAAAAGAGACAGGAGCATCAATATACTGTGGGTAAACTTCAAGTGGTTTTCTACATGAGTGACTGGACACCGGGAGGAGAAGAGAGAGAGTGAGAGAAATAAGTATTTTCAGAAACAATGGTCAAGATTTTTCTAAATTTGACTTAAGCAATACACTTACAACTTCAAAAAGGCCAATGAACTACACACCAAAAACATGAAGAAAACTTTGGTATATTATTAAATTGCTCAGGACCTAGGGTAACAGGAAAAATTTAAAGACAGTCAGAAAAATAAAGGCACTTTACATACAGAGAAATATGAGGATTACAGCAGATTTCTTGTTGGAAGCAGTGCAAGTAAGATGACAGTGGAACGAGATTTTTAAAGTTCAGAGAAAGCAAACTCACTTCATAGAATTCTGTTTCCAGTATAAATATCTCTCAAATGAAGCCAAGTTTTCTGGCAGTTCAAGAGAAACTTAGAAAAAAAATACTAAAATAACATTTTGGCAATTAAAATATACACAAATAAGAACTAATCAATAAGATGTCAAATATTTACCTGTGTATAATGGCCACAAACTTTGGAACATGACAGACTATTAAAATCATAAAATTGGGTTTCATTATACCACACAGTAATGGCCAATTTTGGTGTGAATGATGTTATTTCACCTAACCACATATTTTCTCCAATAAATTCAAGAGCTGCATAACATCCATATGATGTATCCAAACAGCTGTTATGTTCAAATTTGCACTGGTTCGCCCATGTTTGAGCCACTTTTGCTAAACCTTTATCCCAAATCTGAAAGATAAAATAATTTAAATTGAATAGTGCATAAGTATTTGTATTAAAATTATTATAATAATTTTAATCAATTAAATTTTGCTTAAATTTATTATTTTTATAAGATAGAGATTGCCTTTGGTATTTATTATGTTAACAGTCATTTCTTTTTAGTTATATTAGAAATACTTATTTATACTCACTCTATGACAGTTCATTGTTATATTACCAGTACTTAGCAGATATTCACTTAGCAGATATCCTACATTAGCATCACTGAACAAATAAATCTGAATGTGATTAAAATAAGCCAGAATTCAAAGTCTAGTAATTCAGAAGATCATGTTACTTTATCACAATTAAAAGATGAATATTGACCAATAATTAAAAAGGACAAAAACCTAGGAATAGAAAAAAAGAAATGCCCTTAATTTGATCAAGAGGATCTACAAACAAACAGACAGACAAAAATATTTTCAAATGGTGAAATATTAAAACTTTCCCTCAAATTTAGGAATGAAACAAGATGTCTGCCCTTGTAATTTCTATTCATTGTACCAGAAGTTAGGAAGCATAATAAAATACATTAGCTGTAATTATATAAGACAAAACATATAAAATGTATAAGGACACAGATTGCATGACTGGATACTTAAGAATTTAAATGAATACATAAACAATACTATAAAAGATGAAATTACTGAAGTTGAACAATACAAGGAAAATAAGCAAAAATCTATTATATCTCTATTTATATTCTACAAATGAATAGCTTCAAAACATCTAATATGTACAAATTAATTCAATGAGATACAAAATCTCTATGCTGAAAACTGCAAAAACATCACTGAAATAAAATTTAAAAGACTTAAATAAATGGAGAGATATGAAATGATCATGTACCAGAATATTCTATATTGCAAACCAATATTAATTATGACATAATTTTACTTCGAATCAAACTCCAAGTAGCTTTTTTAGGGGTGGAAATCAATTACAGCATTTATGTGGAAATGTGATATTCCAAGTAAAGCTAAGATAGTCTTTTAAATGTAGAACAAAACTGGAGACTTTCTCTACCAGATATCAATATTTATCACAAAGCTATATTAAGATATTGTCATGTTGACACATGGGTAGACAAATAGCTCAATGGAACAGAATAGAGTCCAGAAGCACCTCATGACAAAAGCAACAGTTTTAATGTAGGTATATTTGCCAAGATTATTTGTAAACATCTTTTTATTTTTAATTGATTATAAATTCAATAAGAAGTTACAAAAATAGTTCACAGGAATTCTGTGTGGACTTCACCTAGTTTTCCCAATGGTAATTTTTTTGTAACAATAGTATAATATAAAAATAAGAAATTGACATTGGTACAATCCACAGACTTTTTAAAGATTTCAACAGTTTTGCATGCATTTATTTTTGCAATTTTATCACCTGTATTAGTTAAAATAATCACTCCTACAATATCTTTATACATAACTGTTTCAATACAACAAGGATCCTTCATGCTAACCCATTAAGTCATACCCACTCACTACCCACACTTTCTTTAGCCCCTGGAAATCACCAATGTGTTCTTCAGTTATGACATTTTTTTATATAAAGAAAGTTATGTAAATAGAATCCCAAAGTATGTAACCATTTTGAGATTGGCTTTTCTTCACTCAGCATAATGCCTTTGAGAGCCACGGGGATGTTCCAGGTGTTGATAGTTTGTTCCATTTTATGATCAAGTACTATTCCATGATACAGATGTCTCGCAGTTTAACTTTCATCTATTGATGGAAATTTGGATGTTTACGAGTCTGAACTACTACAAACAAAGCTTCTATAAATATTTGTGAGCAGGTTTTTCTGTAGCAATAAGTTTTCCTTTTTCTAGGAAAAAAGTAAAAGGAAAAAGTCCTCACAAGTGCAATTGCAAGTGTAAGTCCTATGTAAGTGTATGTTTAGGTGTTCTATTTTTTTTTTTGAAACTGCCAACTATTTCCTAGAGTGGCTATACCATTTTGCATTCTGACCAGAAAAGTATGACAGACAAATTTTCTCCATATCTTCACCAGTATTTGGTATTGTCAACATTTTTTACTTTTGCTTTCCTAATTGGTAAGTAGTGATATGTCCTTGTGGTTTTAATTTGCATTTCACTAATAACTAATGATGTTTAACATGTCTCATGTACTTGTTTTCCATCTGCGTATCTCTGTGGTGAAATGTCAGTTAGTCTTCTGTTCATTTTTTAATTGATTTTTTTTTTTACTGTTGAGTTTTGAGAGCTCTTTCTCTAGATTGTTGTTTCTCATATATGAACTGAATATATTTTCTTCTAGTTTATAGTTTGTCCTCTCTTAACAGAGTGCTTTAGAAAGTAGAAGTTTTTTATTTTGAGGAAGTCCAATTTGTTGACTTTTTAAAAATAGTTTCTGGTTGTGATCAAAATCGAAATTATTCATTTGATTAGAAGTTTCATCTAATGCTATGTCCTGAGGATTTTCTCTTGTTTCTCTTCTGGTAGTTTTATGCGTTGCATTTAAATTTATGAGTCATTTTGTGTTAATTTTTGCACAAGGTGTAAACTTTAGGTAAAAGTTTATTTTCCTTATATATTTTAAATAGTATTTCAACACCATTTCTTGAATAGAATATCCTTGCTCCACTAAATTACTTACACATTTTTGTCAAAAATCTACCTAGAGGAAAAGAAGTCATTTTAAGAAAAAGACATTTGCACATGCATGTCTATTAGCCACATAATTTGCAATTCTAAAAATACAGAGACAGTCTAAATGTCCATCAACCGACAAGTTAATAAAGGAAATGTGGTGTGTGTATATACATATATTTTGTTTATATATGGACATATATATAAAATATATAAGTAAAAAAATATAAACCACACCAAAAAATATATTTATATATGAATAAACTATAAATATATTTATATATATTTATATTTTATCATACAGATATACAATGTATGTTTTGTATATATTTATATTTTATATATATGTGGTAAAATATAAAACATTTATATTATATTTTATATTTTATTTATAAATATAAAATTTATATTTTACATATATAAAATATAAATGTATACAAATATATTTATATATGAATAAAATATATGCCTATATGTATGTATAAAACATATACATATTATATATATGATGGAATACTACTCAGCCATAAAAAGGAAGAAAATAATGGCATTTGCAGCAACCTGGATAGAGTTGGAGACCATTATTCTTTTTTTTTTTAATTGTTATTTTTTTATTGCATTTTAGGTTTTGGGGTACATGTGCAGAACATGCAAGATAGTTGCATAGGTACACACGTGGCAGTGTGATTTGCTGCCTTCCTCCCCTTCACCCACATCTGGCATTTCTCCCCATGCTATCCCTCCCCAACTTTCCCCCCCACTGTCCCTCCCCTATTTCTCCCAATAGACCCCAGTGTGTAGTGCTCCCCTCCCTGTGTCCATGTGTTCGAATTGTTCAACGCCCACCTATGAGTGAGAACGTGCGGTATTTCATTTTCTGTTCTTGTGTCAGTTTGCTGAGAATGATGGTCTCCAGATTCATCCATGTCCCTACAAAGGACACGAACTCATAATTTTTGATTGCTGCATAATATTCCATGGTGTATATGTGCCACATTTTTCCAGTCCAGTCTATCATTGATGGGCATTTGTGTTGGTTCCAGGTCTTTGCTATTGTAAACAGTGCTGCACTGTACATTCATGTGCATGTGTCCTTATAGTAGAATGATTTATAGTCCTTTGGATATATACCCAGTAATGAGATTGCTGGGTCAAATGGAATTTCTATTTCTAGGTCCTTGAGGAATCACCACACTGTCTTCCACAATGGTTGAACTAATTTACACTCCCACCAGCAGTGTAACAGTGTTCCTATTTCTCCACATCCTCTCCAGCATCTGCTATCTCCAGATTTTTTAATGATCGCCATTCTAACTGGCATGAGATGGTATCTCAATGTAGTTTTGATTTGCATTTCTCTAATGGCCAGTGATAATAAGCATTTTTTCTTTTTTTTTTTTTTTTTTTTTTTAGATGGAGTTTCACTCTTGTTACCCAGGCTGGAGTGCAATGGCATGATCTCAGCTCACCGCAACCTCTGCCACCTGGGTTCAGGCAACTCTCCTGCCTTAGAATCCTGAGTAGCTGGGATTACAGGCATGCACCACCATGCCCAGCTAATGTTTTGTATTTTTAGTATAGACAGGGTTTCACCATGTTGACCAGGATGGTCTCAGTCTGTTGACCTTGTGATTCACCTGCCATATTTGTTGGCCTCATGTATGTCTTCTTTTGTAAAGTGTCTGTTCATATCCTTTGCCCATTTTTGAATGGGCTTGTTTGTTTTTTTTCCTGTAAATCTGTTTGAGTTCTTTGTAGATTCTGGATATCAGCCCTTTGTCAGATGGGTAAACTGCAAAATTTTTTCCCATTCTGTTGGTTGCCGATTCACTCTAATGACTGTTTCTTTTGCCGTGCAGAAGCTGTGGAGTTTGATTAGGTCCCATTTGTCTATTTTGGCTTTTGTTTCCAATGCTTTTGGTGTTTTGGTCATGAAGTCCTTACCTACTCCTATGTCCTGAATGGTTTTGCCTAGATTTTCTTCTAGCATTTTTATGGTGCCAGGTCTTATGTTTAAGTCTTTAATCCATTGGGAGTTAATTTTAGTGTAAGGTGTCAGGAAGGGGTCCAGTTTCTGCTTTCTGCACATGGCTGGCCAGTTTTCCTAACACCATTTATTAAACAGGGAATCCTTTCCCCATTGCTTGTTTTTGTCAGATTTATCAAAGATTGTATGGTTGTAGATATGCTGTGTTGCCTCCGATGCCTCTGTTTTGTTCCATTGGTCTATATCTCTGTTTTTGTACCAATACCATGCTGTTTTGATTACTGTAGCCTTGTAGTATAGTTTGAAATCCGGTAGTGTGATGCCTCCTGCTGTGTTCTTTTTGCTTAGAATTGACTT